CATGGAAGAAAGGTTCGGTTGGGATGGAGATCGGTTGAAAAAGTCCAGCCGGGGGCGCAGTAGGTCGCTTCCTACGTTGGCATTTATCGCAGGAGGACACGTAACGGCAAATGAACCGGGCGAGACCACGCCGAAAGAAGCGGCGTCGCACGCGGTCGTACGTCCGAGATACACCCAGATGACCAGCAGTTGGTTCATCGTGAAGCTCGTGCAGGACGGTTGAACGCAAATTTTTCGGCACGACAAGAAAGAGCTCAGGGCCATCTGGCTGGAGGCTACGAGGGTACAGCGTGCCATTCCGGAGGACGTACATGCGAAGTGACGTGTCGTTCGGAGCAGACTCGAGACGGTCAATAAGTTGTCGCAGAGAAGCATCACGACGTTGTTCCTCACCAATCTGAAGAAACTGGGACATTGACATGACGCTGTGGCTTGGCTCGATGTCTGGTTCGTCGGGCTGATCAACAGGGTAGCGGGATAAGCAATCGGCGTCCAGATGGAGTCGTCCAGACTTATAAGCAACCGAGTAGGGATACTCCGGTAGGCGTAATGCCCAACGACCAAGTCATTCAGTGGGGTCCTTCAGAGAAGAAAGCCAACACAGCGCGTGATGATCTGTGATGACACGGAAAGGGCGGCCATACAAGTAAGGACGGAATTTCGAGACCGCCCAAACAAAGGCGAGACATTCCCGTTCTGTTATAGAATAATTGCGTTCAGACTTGGGAAGCAGATGGCTTGCGTACCCGATTACACGGTCGTTGCCCCGCTGAATTTGCGCCAAAACTGCACCAATTCCGTGACCACTAGCGTCTGTTCACACTTCTGTAGGAGCATCGGGGTCGAAATGTGCAAGAATAGGAAGTGTCGTTAGAGCGGTGATTAGCTGAGAGAAGGCGTCAGCTTGAGGAGGGCCCCAACAAAATGCAACGTCTTGTTTGAGAAGGTCGGTGAGTGGCCGTGCGAGTGCCGCAAAGTTTTTCACGAACCGGCGAAAGTAGGAGCAGAGGCCCACAAAACTGCGAACATCATGGACAGAGCGTGGGACTGGGAAGTTTGTTACAGCGCGTACTTTCGCGGGGTCTGGCCGTACGCCGGCAGCGTCAACAAGGTGACCCAATACGGTAATCTGACAAAGACCGAAGTGGCACTAGGAGGAATTGAGCTGCAGGCCGGCCCGTCGAAATATGGATAGAATGGTCGAAAGGCGTTCAAGGTGGGTTGCAAAGGTAGGCGAGAAAATGATCACGTCGTCCAGGTAACACAAACATGTCGACCATTTAAATCCTTGTAGGAGCGTGTCCATTATTCTCTCGACGGTCGCTGGAGCGTTGCAGAGCCCGAATGGCATGACCTTGAATTGGTAAAGACCGTCAGGGGTAACGAAGGCGGTCTTTTCTCGATCCATTTCATCTACAGCAATTTGCCAGTAGCCAGATTGGAGGTCGAGAGATGAAAAGAAGGTGGCGCCATGGAGGCAATCAAGGGCATCGTCAATGCGTGGTAGAGGGTACACGTCTTTTCTTTGTAATTTTTTTGAGGTGGCGATAATCAACGCAGAAACGCCAGGAGCCGTCTTTCTTTTTTAGTAATACCACGGGAGATGCCCAAGGGCTCGTTGACGGTTCGATTACGTTTTTCGTAAGCATTTTGGCCACTTCTTTCTGAATCACTTCTCGCTCGGACGCTGACACGCGGTACGGCCGACGGTGAATGGGCGCAGAGTCACCAGTGTTGATTCGGTGAGTGACAATTTTAGTCTGGCCCAAGGGACGATCGTCGGTGTCGAAAATGTCACTGTATGAGGCCAAAACTTGGCAGAGAGCGTCGGCCTGGTGAGGCGACAGCTCCGATCCAATCATGTTTCGAAAAATAACAACGTCTGAGCTGGGTGACCGTGAGACTGCGCTTCGATCAAGAGCAGATACAGCGACAACACTGACATCGTCCTCTGTTATTGCAGTTAGCTGGTCTAGAGACATCTGGCAGTGGAACACTTGAGGGGTGAAACCAAAGTTAAGGAGCGGAAGTAACACACAGTTATCCGCTATGGTTGCGATGGTATAGGGCACAGTAACACTGTGCGTCAGCCGAACGTCGGTAATTGGCGTAACGATATAATCACCGTCAGGAACGGGAGGGGTCGATGACAAAGACACATACGTGACGGCTCGAGGTGGCAGGCGAACGAAAGTGGTTGGGCTCAAGCGGCTGGTGGGCTTTGCAGAGTAGTCGGCAAAGATTGGAAGATCAAGGCTGAGGGTACCAGACGAACAATCAATTAAGGCCGAGTGTGCCGAAAGGAAATCAAGGCCAAGTATGAGGTCATGAGGGCAGCAGGCTAGCACGGCAAAAAGGACCACAGCGTGATGACCGGCAATGTTGGCACGAGCAGTGCACATTCCGATTACTGGTACAGTACTGTCATCGGAAACACGTATTGCCTGCGTCGTAGATGGTGTCATAATCTTTTGTAAGCGGCAGCGTAGAGAAGCGCTCATAATAGACAGGTGCGCACCTGTGTCAATGAGGGCGGTCACAGGAACATGGTCGACTTGTACTTCAAGCAGGCTGTGGTGCGTGGGAAGCGTCAGTAGAGGATTTTTGGCCGTCATTGGTATTGCAGCTTCACCTCTATAAGCTGCAATATCTAGTTTTCCTGCTGCTGTCGTCCTGAGAAGCCGGCGAAAAGCGCCGAGATGGCGGAGAGTGGGATTGGCGACGTAGCGGCGACGGGGAGCGAGAGCTGCGGCGGCCGGACGAAGGGGCGTCAGGGTAGCGGCGACCGGGCAAAGGGGCGCCAGTGGAAGGCTCGCAAGATGACGACGAATAGAAATTGAAGAGTGCGGCGACTGAACGTCGAGGGGTCGTCGGATGCATGAGCGCCGAGGTAGAGAAAGTCTGACGTGGTTGGTTTGACCAACGGCGGCGGCAATAGCGAGAAACGTGCCCAGGCTGTTGGCAGGAAAAACAAATAGGCCGGTCGTCGAGTGTTCGCCATTCCGAAGGATTACGGAAGGGCATTGTTGGAGGTGAATGGCGAGCGTGTCCTCGGAAGTAAGACGGGACATGAGGGCAAGTCAAGGGACATGCTGATGGAAGGCCGAGGTTCGCAAACTCTTGCCTCACCACAGCTTGTATTAATGCCACTGACGGCTGTTGTTGGTCAGAGGCAAGCGTTGCGAAAATGGGTGGCTGAAGAGGAGCTGGACAGGCGGCTTCGATTTCCCAACGAACAATGCGTGTGACGTCATACGTGGGGGACTGACGGGCGGCTTCACACGATGAGGTTGCGGCCGTGTTGGGCAGCCGGGTGAATCGCTGAGTAATACGGCGGCTCTTGGCTTCTTCGAACCGCCGGCACTCTTTAATGATGGCGTCGACAGTGGCAACGTTGTTGTCAACTAGAAGATTAAATGCGTCGTCTGCTTGCCTTTCAGCACATGGGCCATTTTCTCTGACTCACTCATGTGCTCGTCAATCTGGCGGCATAGGGCGATGACGTCGTAAATGTTAGCGACGTACGCCTCCGTCGACATCTGTGCACGAGCCGCCAGTTGATTCCGCGCTGCGATCTGCCGCCCAAGGTGTCGCCAAAAAGGTCGCAGATTTTCTCTTTAAAGGAGTCCCAGCTCGTAATCTCCGCTTCGTGCGCCTCGAACCACACTCGCGGTGGGCCGTCGAGGTAAAAAAGCACATCGGCAAGCATAAGAGTCGGGTCCCACCTATAGCTTGCGCTGACCCGTTCGTACCGGTTGATCCATTTGTCGACGTCGACGCCATCCTGATCAGAAAATACACCGGGATCACGAGCAGGAGGTAGAACGACGTATGTGGAAGTCACGGAAGGGGCAGGTGGTGAAGACTATGGTTGTTCAACCTGTGACATGGTTGGACCTATGATGATGCGGCCGTTGCGGAGCTTCGTGATGAAGACGAGGAAGTACCCAGCACTTCCACCACAAAGATGTTACGTAAAAATGACACGAGGCGTGTCTATTTAAAATCTATATTCAAACTAATGCGTATGGCGTCGACTAAGATGGAGGACAGCACGCACAACCGACAGACCACTTCCTCGTTGTCGTCTTCTGACCGCTGATATGTCAGCTACGTAGCAATACCATGATCCAGTGCACGCCAATCCGTTGCCAGCCATACCTTAGGCCGCATGGTGCTGTGCAGCCTGTGCTCCGACAGTGGGAAAAGCTATGCTGTAGACCTATGGTCTGCCGTCGGCATGCTTGCAGATACATGGAAGGCAGTTACGTAACAGACCCTCCGAAACTTTTTTTCGCCATGGAAGCTTCATACTGGATGCTGAGACTGCAGTCTCGCCCGGAGTGGACAGACAGCATGTGCGATGAATTTCGACCCGTGGACGTTGCCTTCGACAATCTGCACATTGCCGGTGTTTGGATTCCAGTTGGAATAACCCTTGAGGGCTTCGCCGACACTGATCAAAACCTCGTGCTGTGTGGGAAATTAACCATTGACAAAATCATTTTTCATGTTACAGAGGATTCCTACAAATCCGACACCGAAGTCGTCGAGCTCGGAGTTGATGCAAACACTGAAAATTGTCATCGAATCACAGTGACAGCATTACATTAACTAAAATTGAAGCAGACATCATCAGAAGCAAGAGAAAAGCAGTACAAACGAAAATAAGTGACTTTTTTTTATCCTAAGTGTTTACAAATGCTGTATTGCCGGCCACATACGATTTTTTTCTTTTCTTCATTTCTTTTGGCTCTTTTCAGAGCCACCTAAATGATACTAGTCGAATGGCAATGAGAACCCTATATTCCTGCCGCGACCCTCTTCGCGAGCGAAAAATACCTATTAAAAAAAGCATTTTCACTTGCGTTCGTATTTCCGGACTGCCCGATTTTTCTGGCGTTTTCACAGCATTTTGAGGGTCCAGTAAATCGGGCGTTTGCTGTACTAATGAAGAGTGCAGCACTTTCAAAATACTTTGTTATACAGGCACAACCAACCTGTGCAAAGGACACCCGGTTCGCTGAGCTGCCAGCAGGGGTAGATGACCTCAACTCTTCTGCAGGGCCATTGGGACCGCCGAGCATTGATTGGTGATGCTCTTCTGCATCACTCACTGCAGCCACAATCACAGAAATCAGTTGGACACAGAAAGGTGCACAAGAACCCACTCAAGACATTTCATAGAATAACAAGCCAGGCAACACTATTCGTGATAGTTCATCAACTTCAAGCGGAAAAATTTAGACAGCTAAGCACCACCAGAAGATGGACGGAGCACTGGCACTCTCTACCTGTGCTTCGTCTTTATTTTGGTGGTGCCAAGGCATCTAAATTCTTACTCTCAGTAGTGTGCCGACTAATCCTGCAACAAGTCCTCCTAAACTTCAACTGGAGATGACATGTTTGATAGCTTCATTTAAGGGGGGGCGCGGCAAGTAAAGTGCCGATTTTGGTCAAAATATGCGATTTTCTGATTTATTTTTTTTCGTAATCTTCAGACCTTCAACTTCCTTGTTCTAAAATATTACAGCGAAACGTGCGCTACAAATCCCGCAAATAGTGTTTTTGCCGAGGCTAGTCGCCGAAAAGTGCGAAAAAAAAGCCCCTGAAACGGTGTTGTTCACGCCGCACAAACGCGCCAAGTTGTTGACCGTGGGCCGCCATTTTGGTAGCTTTGGAAAGAGGAGAAAGCCGGCTTCCCGATGGTCGCGGTCTCGTATTTCGCCGAGTGAAAATAAAAGCGCGAGGAGCAAGTAAAAAAACAAAAACGAAGAACGGCAACTGGCTGCGCGGGTCACGTGGTAGCAGGCGCGACCTCTTACTGGTCAAAGCTGCGCCGCTCACCTTGGCAACCTTGGAAGCGCGAGCGCATCTGCGGCCGCCGTGTCGAGAATCATCCGGCGTGCGCTTCGTTTTTTGCCAGTTTGCTGTTTTTGTGATAGTTCGCGTGCTTTTTTTACCAAGCTTTGTTTACATCGGTGGTCTCTTCTGAGTGCTTGCTCATACTGCGGTGCTATGTTGCCGCAAAAAAAGTTCCGGAGCGTCCACAAGTACGGCAAGCGTCGGAAAGCTTGGAACAAAGGGCAGACGACTGCGGCTGCCGTCCCAGTCGCAGTTCCGGACGGAGCATGCTCTTCAAGCGTCACGGAGCCTCTACTCAGACCCTTCGCTGATTGTTGTGAGGCCGAGAGTGTGGAAGGTGCCACATCGTCGTATGTCAGACCGCCGGATGCCGTCGACCGTGATGGACGCTCTCGCGAACCCGACTGCGGTGGCACCGCGTCGGCAGCCGTTGCAACTCCGGGCGTGCGCGCGTCGAACATTCTATCGCGAGTTTCGGCCCAGATTCCGAGCAGTGAAGAAATCGCGCAGCGGGCGCAGACAAGGCGGGATGTTTTGGATGCCGTAGCATCGAAGTCCGCTTCAAAGCGGAAGCTCGAGCTTCTGAACGAAGGCTGCGACGAAAATGACGGCGGTAAGGACTCCACATTCTTCATTGTAAATAAGAAGATGCTGAACGGTCTGCTTTCGTCAGTAAAGTGCAACAAGTGCGACGAAGGGTCGATACGCCTCGAGACTACGCACTGCCTTGGACTCGCGGCGAGGATGGAACTTTTTTGTGACAATTGTGGCAGAGTGAACAGTGCGTGGTCGTCCCCGAGGTGCTCCGGGCAACAAAAAACGAACCCCTTTGAGGTAAACGTGCGTGTTTTGAGGGCTGTGCAGTCAGTTGGCAGAAAACAATCTGCCATAAATGACATTTTTTCTGCGATGGACATTTCGCATCGAGCACTGCACCACAAGTCCTACCAGAGACTGCAAAGGAAGTACAGCCACCCTGCCACCACATCAGCTGCCACCCGCATTGAAGCAGAAAGTGCACAGAAGGTGCATGACATTTACAAGGACCTAGGAGGAGTGCCAGGCAACATTGACGTCATTTACGACGGCACGTGGATGACGAGGGGGCACAGAAGTCATATTGGCGTGGGCTGTGTAATCGAGCTGTACACAGGCTTGGTCTTGGACCACTGTGTCCTGTCCAACTACTGCCAAGGCTGTGCTGTTGGCCCCAAGCCTGGTGACGACAACTATGAGGAGTGGCTTGAGAAACACAAGCCACAGTGCCAAAAGAACACCGATGCTAATGCAGGCCAAATGGAAGTAGAAGCAGCTAGGATCATGTTTGAAAGATCGTTACCAAGTACAAGCTTCGATACATCAATGTGCTCTGCGACGGTGACAGCCGTACGTACCTTGCCCTCACGCAAGACAAGGTGTATGGCTACATGGTGATTAAGAAACAGGAGTGTGTGAACCATGTGAAAAAAAGAATGGGCACTTCCTTGTGCAACCTTCTTGATGAGCACAAATCCAAAGGCCGAGGACTGAGCATGGGTGGCAAAGGCCGGCTGACGCAGGGCCTGATAAAGAAGTTGACGAATTATTATGGCTGGGCCATTAAGAGCCACCCCAACGATGTTCCTGGCATGGAGAGGGCCATCATGGCCACTTATTACCATGTAACATCCACAGACCAGGATCCACACCACAACCTGTGCCCAAGTGGGACTGACTCCTGGTGCCCGCACAATCAGGCATTGGCCAAGGGAGAGCCGCTGCCGCCTCACAAACATAAACTGCCCCCTCACGTGCGAGTGGCACTGCTGCCAATCTACAAGCGCCTCTCGAACAAAGAGCTCCTTGAAAGGTGTGCGCAGGGAAAAACCCAGAACGCTGTGGAGAGTATGAACAGCCTCATTTGGTCACTCCAGTCCAAGAGCCAGTTCGCCTCCCTTCGAAGTGTGGAAAGTGCAGTTGCAGATGCAGTCTGCCGTTTCAATGGTGGATGCAAGAGTGCGCTGCAAGAGATCACTGCTCAACTGGGCTTCAATCCAGGAGACTGCTCTTTGCGGCGAGCAGCCGAAAAGGATGCCAAAAGGGTAAAGAGGGCTCAAAAGGCGCATTGTTCCACGACAAAGAAGCGCAAAACTGGGTTGCGCTCTACAGAGGCCAAGGCCACAGCATCTCAGGATTACTGCCCAGGAGGATTCTGAGTGTTTTAGGCATGTTGTGAACTTCCAAACAAGAGTGAACTTTCAAAGTCAGTTTTCTCAACTCTTGATTTTCGCCTATGTGCCTTCGCTAGAACATCCGTCATTTTCTAACAAAGACTGATAGAGTCGTTCCGTTTTTTGCACTAGGCTCAGGAGGCCTTTAGCAGTGCAATAAAGCTTTATCTCTCTTCTTACTCATCATTTAAAATTTTTAGAACACATTTTATAATTACTGCGATGTGTGCGCAAAACAACATTCTTGTTTTGGAAATTTTATTTATGGTTACAAGAACTAGAAAAATCAACTAATAGCTTCTTTGCACAAGTTGATGCTTTGGGAACATAATAATATGAAAAAATAATTTCATTTAGCAATAATTATCTCTTTAAGTGTGAAGAGCATTAATTAGTATAATTATGCTTGTAACTCAAAAAGTACAAGAGGTATTTGAAAACGGTTTTCATATTTGGAATCCTCACAATCATCCACATACACACACCAAATTTCATCACAAACAGTACATTAATAAAAAAATTAGTTTTACTTGCCACGTCCCCCCTTAAAAGTCCTTATGTCAGATCCTACTGCCAATTGGACCCTTACTGCAGTCAGGCACACGCAAAATCAAAGCCAAGTTCAATTTATCTAGTGAAGATTAATTTTTCAGATTAAGATTGTAAGATTTTGGTCTCACAGAGATGCATGCACAATGGCTCAGGCTTTCAGCTGATAATAGCGTATTCAGCGTATATTGCAGATTACAAGCCGACTCAGTCGACCCCCCCCCCCACCACTCACAACCCCTTCTAGGTTAAAAAAAAAAAATTGACTCCGAACGCAGCCTCATTGCTGCAGCCATAGCACAGCAGTAAGTCTTTCAGAAAAGGGAGTGATTCAAAGAAACATTTATTTGGCTATCACACATCCCTTTCCACAAGATGCAGCAGTCACGGTCATTGCCATCATGTTAGCCACTGCTGCTTCTCATCGTCGGAAGGATAGCTGGTGGTACTGGGATGCTGCACGTGGAAAGTGCCATGCCGACCATGTCGGTTGGCAGTCTATACCATGCACCATCACCCATTGCGCCACTTCATTTAAAGAGCTTTGAACTTTGTTAGAGGGAGGCACATATCCTTCGAGACAGTAGGTGCATTTGCTTCAATAACATCAAAGAAAACACTCAGGCTTTTGCTTCTCTAGTCGTGAACCCTATATCCGACCGTCTCTTCAAAGGCAGGGTATCGGCCAAAGTTCGGTCCAAAAAAGGAACGACGTGTCACAGCGCACGCGAAGATCTTGGTCCTTTGATTTCTTCATTTCCTCACACACTTTTCAGACACTTCAAATTTCTGCCCTGCTCCAACATTGCTTTCCGACTCCGCGTAGAGGATCGCTTGCCACCTAAAAGCAGCGTTGCATCGCTGCCGGTGTAGTGATGGCATCTTGGTGTCTGTCGGGCGGCTTTACGAATCGCACACAATGCCGCTCGCAAGTGAGGTGAAATGCAGAAAAAGTGAACAGGCGTGAACCCAAAAAGATGTGAAGACGCTTGTGGGCGCATGCGACTGGCGATGTGATTTAGTTCCCCACGAAGTGTTGCCAGCCCACACGGAGCTTCCAGCTTTTCCATGGAATGCCCATAGTGCTTCGCGGCAAATTTGAATTTTTGAATCGCCTAGTTAGCAAGCTCTGTTAGGGCCCGCTGTCCACTAAAGCAAGAAACGCTTGTCACCTAAAGACGTGACTCGTGACAAACGACGTTTTTTGCGTGCAAGAGATGCATGTTGGAGCTTTTTGTGATAGAAAAATGTATGACGCTTTGTTAGCGAGCGATGAATACATGTCACGTTATTTCGCGAGTGAAATGCACTGTCATACCCATATGCAGCGAGTGCCAGTGTTGTTGCCAACCTCGCCCAACAGACGCACTGATGTAGTGGCACTACCATTGAAGCTGTAATGCTGTTGGTGACATGTCATGAAAAAATGCAGTACAGTCAAACCCCGCTGCAACGAAACCAACGGGGTGCGAAAAAAAATTTCGTTGAAGCGAACATTTTTTGCCAATGAAAACGAAAAAATATAGCTGATCTGAGCTAGCAAAACAAAGGAACGTTTATTCTAATAATTCAAAAAAGTGTCCGCTGCTTCACATTCTTTTTCAGCAGCGTCACGATGCAATTCTCACCCATGCATAGCGAGGCCATGGTGAAAAGCACGCTGAAACAACAGCAGCTGTCCGCTGTCAAAGTGTATCCGACAACGACGAGATAGAGGCAGGGCATCGTGGAGCGGCGGCTTTTGACTTATTCTATGCCTTTCTTATCATCCATCACTCGCGGCTAGTCGATTTCGTTGATGATAATAACAGCCGGTTTGATTAGTTACTATACTGGCCAAGCGCGAACATAATGATAAGCATCGAAATCGAAAAGGGCATCGCTCCGCAGCTGCACCCAGCAGTTGTGTGAAGGAAACCATGAACTGAGCCACTGAGCTTCAGCTCGAACCGTCCGCGGCTCAAAAGCAAGCCAGTGGCAAAAGCATGGCAGTTTCATTGCCATCGCTATTGAGCAATGGCGGCGCCCATGCTTGCTGAACAGCAGCGGTTTTGGTGGTGCCAACACGAGCTTTAGACTTTGTTGACATATTTTCAGACTCTCGAAATGCATCGAGATGTTAAAGATTGGATTTACTACATAACAATAAGTATCTGAGCCTGAAATTGCATCATAAAATTTCGTTGAAATGGGACAACAGAAGAGAAAGTGTTCATTGTGGCAACAATATTTATGCACTAACTCACTCCTATGGACTGCTGACGGAGAATCATTAATTTTTCGTTGTAGCAGAAATTTCGTTGACGCGGAGTTTGTTGTAGCGAAGTTCGACTGCATCTCCGAAGCGTCGTTGCTGACACCTCCTCTAGCCACCATAGCTAGAATGTAGTTTCCCAATCATCGCGGCAGATAATAAAAATGTTCGGCTTCGAAAGTGGCGTGCACACGCTTTGGGAAATAACAGTTCCTGCGACTCCGTTGCCTTTGAGACTGATGTTACCGTATTTACTCGCATAGTCCTCACACTTTTTTTGGTGGAAAACTGATGCAAAGTTGGGGGGTGCGAGAATTACGCGGGGACAACTTTCCACGAAAATGTACAGAGCGAAAAAGAAAACCTAGTGGCTGCAAATCGGGATTCTTACACCAGCAACTTACAGCAAGCTTTAAGAATTACTAATTAGAACTTACCTCAACAATAAAAGCAGAGGTTCAACACAAGGCAAGATTTATTTGAGACAAAAAGTGCAAGCAAACAGTCGAGAATTAGAATACCACAAGCAAAGCTTGTGGGCGTTGTGGGCGTAACGGTAGCGTTCGTCGCTCAACAGGAGCCCTCAAAAGGTAAGCGTAGGACGTCAGTATTGAGCAGATGGCTATTTAACAGAATCGTCCGCAGTTTCCTTCTGAAGAAATAAAGTTTACCACCAATCCCAGTTGCAGGCCCACAGCAGGCCCAACGCGTCTTCGTGGCTTTCAGCTACCATCACCAGTAGCGAACACAAAACTCGTAGACTCCGAAGGGCCTACCGGCGGCCCTGTTGCCGTTGTTTAGTGCATGATCTATCACATGCAACTTGAAGACTTCGCGTAGCTTCAGTATCACCCCATAATGTGCCAAGATTACCGACACAGCATACAAACACGCCGCAATGCGCACTGGCCACTTCGGCTTGGCTTGGACTGAATCTGCATGCAATAGTACGCTTGATGCTAGAGAGATGGCGCCAGATGACACGCGCCATCATCATTAGTGGCTGGAACAAGCTGACGACATTATTGCGGCAGTTTTCGGGGTTGCGATAATTACTCGAGGAAAAAAAAAAATCGTATTTTTCTTGGGCGATGCGGGGGGTGCGAAAATTATGCGAGTGCGAGGATTACGCGAGTAAATACGGTAAACAGTGAAAGCTTGTTCATTCGAACTTCAATAATTTGAATTTATGAATAATTCGACCTGTAAGTTATGGTGCGGCAAAGCTTCATACAAGCCTATGAATAAAAAAGCCCGTTAATCCGAACGCGAGTAGGTTCCGCCGCGGATAATTCGAGCTACGCGCCGCTGCGCCGGCGGCTTGGCTAGTCACTCGATAGGGCCGCTGCCGAGTTACGAGGCGGCGTTGACAAGGAGCGGAGAGAAAAAACGGAGAAACTGGCACGGAGGCCAGAGTGCAAAAAATGACGCCACTTACTCTTCACCCCCCTCCCCCCACAATCTTTCTCTCTCGGCGGCTGCCTGCTCTCCGTCCTACGTAACCTCCAAGATTAGTCTTTTTTTTTAAGCGCCAATCTTGGAGCCTTTGAAAATCCCGCGTAGTTGTCGCTGTTAGACGACACATGGCATGACCAGCACACAGCAAATCAGGTGCGTCGTAGCTATGCCCAGCCTTCTCTGCACTCTCCGCCGTCTCGGGCGTGCGTCGTACACCTTGGCTGTTGGTGCTGAGAGTAGCATCCAACTGTCGCGATATTTTGTGTTGGTGTTAGGCCTCAGCCAACGTTTGTTGCGGTAGCACCGGTAGTAGCTTCCCCTCTGTTGCGATTCTGCTGCTCCGACTTGATGGTGCGTGCCTGCGGCAAATACCGTGCCAAAACACTTTCTTCCAGCAAACACAACAAGCTGGCCTTCCTTCCAGCAAACACGACAGCCACACTGCAGCCCATTGACCAGGGTATAATTAGAAATTTAAAATCATTTTATCCGCGTGATATGTTGGAACGAGTTATTTTGTGCAATAACTACCAAGTGACGCTCCTAAGTGCACTACACATGCTTGTGCGTGCTTGGGAGCAAGTGACAGCGCTTACGATAGCAAATCGCTTTCGCCACTGTGACTTCAGCACCAAAGCTCTGCAAGCTGACGAGCCACCAGTGCTCGAACACGGCGTCACCGCCCCCATGGCGGACATTTTGGAAGACGTCTGCTCTGCGGACTACGTCGATGTGGACTCAAGTGCAGTGGTGTGTGGTGCACTCGCGGATGGCGACATAATATGTCAGGTGAGAAGTGCAGAACCTGTCGCTGCTAGTGACGATGATGAGAAGGAGGACGAAGCACCAGTGCGGCCCTCTGCTGCGGAAGTCATGGCCGGATTGAATGCCACCCGTCTTTTCTTTAAGTTTTGAAGAAGGGGCAGAAGAGGCGATTCGCCAAATTCGCTCGCTAGAGCAAAAAGTGCTGGCTGTCACCTTCAAGAAAAGAAGGCAGCACGCAATCACAGATTTTTTCAAAAAATAAATTGTTATGACCTACTAGCAGTGTACTATTGTTGTTCTTCCCTTTCGTTAGTTCGAACTTTTGTTAATTCGAACTGAGGCGGATTCCCCTTGTGGTTCGAATTAACGAGCTTTTACTTAGATGTGTCGAATAGCAGTGAGCTTGAGGACAACGACCGTTCTTCGAAACTCTCAGAAAAAGCAACTTTACGATTCCGAGTCAACTTTATGATTCCGCGTATAAGTAGACTGATTATAAGTTGACCCCCAAATTTTGAAAGGCCATTTTATGAAAAAAAAAATAATAAAGACACCGACTTATGATCGGCAATCTATGGTAACACAAAGATCTGATTAACCAGACCCAAATTAGTGAATCTGTGCAGTGTAAGAAACAGCCACTTCCCTAAACTCAAATAGAAAAAGCTATTAGGCACGGAACGATTAGGCACGTTAGACAAAACAATAGTGCCACTGCTTCATAACATCAATAAACTGTGCTGATGGATTCCCACCCTTCCTGCTCTCGTGTCATCCTGAATGAGTTGGTCGCTACATAAAAGTAGCAGCAGGGCTGTAACAAGAGGGGTATGTTTTAAGTTTTTGGGTGGTATGGAATGAAAATACTTTATTTGAGTCCCGCAGAACTTAGCGGGTGTCTCCGACGTAGGGACCGACAGGAAGTACCTGGCGGCCGCTTTGTGGGCCGTTGCTGGTCGATGAGAAGTGAGCTCCGAAGGTACTAATGTATTAACACGTCCTAACATCGACCAACAATTGCTAAAGTTCAACAATCTACACAACCACCCCCCCCCCCTATTCCTGGGTACGGTCCTGAGTAGCACAGCTGCATGGAACTATCGATAGAAAAGCGCTGGCTAACTAATCCTTCACTCCTTTCAGCAGCTCACATTTCAATAATGTTTATGCCCAGTCCAAAGAAAATGTGACTATGCCAATCCTCGGGTGACTCATGAAAAGTTATTCACCAAAATAAGGCAAGGACGACAGATGGCATTAAGAGGCAAGAAGAGGGACGCGACACACGTCAAAAAGCTGACCAAGTCGTCCCTGATGTAAAGATGACATGCATACCGCCTCTACTATACCTACCAGTTACTACAGAACACTCCGATCCTGCTGACGAGGAATGAAGGGGTGGAGGGGAAGCTGGCGCAGCTGGCGATGGCCCACCAAGCGGCTCACACGTTGGGAAGTGGCGTGCGCTGTTCAGCTGGTAGCGGGCACCACCACCTGTGCAAGCAAAATGCAGCACGTCAATCCAGTGCTCCCGGCTTGTGTGTGACTAAAGTGGCCCCCACGTTTACTAGAATCGGCTAGCCGAAAGAGGAGGTAGGCAACAGCAGACATCTGAGAAGGCTTTAGTTCGTTAGTTATGATGGCTTTTATGGAGCAAGAGCAGCAATTCCCATGATGCACCAGACATTAGGCGATTTTTAATAAGATGCACAGTGGACAAAAGCACTTAAGGTTTCTTTCACATGGTTTTGTCCCCTTGGCATTCAAGTTGGTTGGTTGTTTTCATGCATTTACATATGCTATTTATTCTGCTTCGATTCAAAATAAAATTCTACCTGCGAGTTGGTGCTCTTGTCTACTGTTCCTCTCACCGTCCTCGTTTTCTTCGTGCTGTTTATTTGTTTAAATGAAGGCCCACCAACTTGCCCTGTACACCCTTTCTAATGAGACATAAACAGGAAGGAAGAAGGGAGAAAGGAAAGGCCGAGAGGGATTAAAAGAAGGGTGCTGCTACTGCTAATGGCGGCAAAATATACATATGTCACTTCTCTTATGTTGAATGAAAGGAACAGACGGCTAGTGCCAATCTTAATAATATGCATTAACTAAAAGCAGCTAAGTACCGTACACATTTTTATGGATAACATACAGCAACATTTATTTATGGCATTCCAACAAGAGGTACGTGTCCTTGATCAACTCGATGTACTACTCAGCTCACCGCCCAACATCACAGCAGAAGTGACTTTTACCATGTCTAGGCTTGTGCTTATATTACGCTTTAATATTTGAACAAACAGTATCTGAGTTCATTTCAATTCAAATTCCAATAATTGGAAATTTCAAAGTACTATTCAAAATGAATTAATAAATGTGCAGTAATCCCCATGTACCCCCCCCCCAATAAAGGTGGTTCCACTGCAGGGGAGTAGTGGCATGCCGTGAAAACAACTTTCAAAAAAAAAAAAAAATCCGCAATGCCGCAAAGCCTAACTCAAGGTTTAATGAACATATTGCTCTCACATCGATTTCTTGTTTTTTTAAATTTAAAACCTTGTGTGGCTCATGTGCTCCAAGTATAGCAAATTTTAAAACCAAACATACTTTACAGGTCATCAAGAGAGCACCAAAAGTCAAACACTGCTATTGAAAGGGTTTGCAAAAGCACATGCATGTAAGTACTCAAGGAAAGGCATAACAGCAAGGACGAGAAAGCGAGGAGAGACTACTGCTTTCCATTTCTTGATGTTACGCCTATCATTCAGCAGTTCCGTGCTTGCGCAGCAAACCCTTTTTATGTGCACTTTCAACGAACCAGCCCAAATATCCGTCCTTCAAATACTGTTTCTGTTTATAAACGGTTAGAGCACACTAAAGACTAACACAATGAAGGCACACAAATGCACCTGATCTTCCAGTGTCGTGTGTAGGCATGTATGTATGCACCTTCATTATGTGTCTGCCTTCAGTGTCCTCTTACCGTTCTAACCATGGAATACCAACGTGCCCATATTACTGCCTTGGTTGACTTCATTTTATTCAAATACTGCTGCTATTAAACATCGTTTCCACTTCCTCTGAACCAAAAGGAATAGCATTTGCACAGGCCTACTTTCCATCTTCATTTCTTTTATTTTATTTTCACAAAAACAGATACAATGGCGAAAAATGGGGAGACAACAAAAAAGCTGCAGTTATTGCAGCTTGACTAAGCACTGTCCACCCTATGTCAGCAATGACAGGGTAAAAACGAAATACAAGAGTAAAATGAAAAAAAAAAACAAATACTATAAAGCAAGTAATAATACAAGCAAAAGGCAATTTTAAAAACAATGTGCCCAAATATGCAATAGAGACTATTTGAATTTAATGGAAAAGTATTTGACCAAATCATTATTCACTTCGAACTTGCTAAGAACCTAAACTTTACCATTCGCACAAACCTAGCCTTGCTGTTTATCACATCAAGACAACTAAACACTGGCTAGAGGCCGCAAGGAAAGAGTGTGCAATTTAGGCCGAGCACAATCTTAATCAAACTAACAACCTTGAGCAACACCATATGTGACCATATTATGAGCCTTTAAGCTCAACTTTTCCACGTTTCCACATTCATACTTTTTTTCTTTTGCATGTTTAGAATTTCCGACTGGCACCTTTACATGTCATAGTAAAAATTGCCTTCCATCTTCCCCCCTGAATTTGAAACTGCATTACAGCTGTACAGCTATGGGCTCTCTAAGAATAAGGGGGGAGGCTACATTCGATGGGCAACTTTTTTATTTATGTATAGATCTGAACGAAATTTTCACAGTTTGTGTATTTAGATGTGCAGATTCTAAAAATGTTATTACTTTTTTTGATAGGCAAAGTAGTTTTCAAGATACTTCACAATCAAAGTAAAATCTGGGTCCTTTGTTTGGAGCCTAATTAGCATCTAAGCAGGAAGCACCAAAACACTGGCGACAGTGTACAAAAAATGCTGTAAATCAATTCGCTGGGCCAATTTCAACAAGAGTGAGAGGACATCAATGTTCACAAAAAAGAAAGCCACTTGTCACCTGTCACGCTTGTGACCCAATTAAAAAACATTCTTGATCTGTATAATGCCTTCAAAATAGGCATATTGCATACTGCATGCATTTATCTTTCCGTCCGAAGAAGAATTATGCTGATAGCTTGAATGGAACATAAGTTATTTTCCCTCCAACTCGGCAAATGTGACAAAATTGTTGTTTTCAGAAAACAAAGAAAAACGTTTCAAAACACCTTTATTAGAAAAATACTAATAAATGTCCTATGAAAATGCACCAGGGGCATAATCTGGATGCATCCCATCCTTATGCTTCTTCTTGATCAGCTTTCTCAGTCTTTGGGATGCTTCTCTCATTTATTTGAGGTTGCACTCTTAACGACAGTCCTTTTCCCTAGCCCTCAGGGATGTGCTGCTGAATATTGTGATGTCCAGCTGCTCTAGAATGACAGCAAATGCATTGACATTGCTTGTGAAGCACAGCACAGCTTCTGCAACAGCAGCTTGCACAGCAAAAATAAAAGCGTGCTGCTCCTTTGATACCAACCTTCAAATCACAGATTGGAGGCTTTCGTGTGAATTCCGAGTCTTGCCTTACTGGCATCTTGCCTCGCTGCTGCACCACTAAAGTCCGAAAAGCTCTCAATTTCCCGTGCTGTTGCTGACACGACGAAAGATCCTCAAGCATGCTGGTAGTCTTGCGGGCGCGCGCGTCACGAACTTCACTGGCATCGATCACACCAGCGTCTACCCGCACACGGCCGAGTCGACACAGCGCGCGCTGTCAGGGAGGCCCGTGTCTACGCGCACTTCACCGTTGCCAATAACATCGGCGCGGTCATAATCCACAGAGCATCCGTTATTCAGAAAAGTAGTCTTGCACACTCTTTCATTGATAACATCTTCGGTACATGGGCGGCCAGCGTGCACGTCGCGCACGCAAGAGGGCATTATCAAGACGGTGTTATCAAAAACGTTGGCACTTGTTCCTGCGCCACAGTGGCAGCACCATGGGCTTTCTGCCTGTGCCTTTCTTTCGTGAACAGCCAAAATGATGCAGCAATCGGAACTTTTTCCCATCGCTGCGCATAGCGAGATGCACCAGCACATTATGGTACGAGTCGCGACACCTTCGCAAAGGCGATACCCTTTCAAAATGGCAGTAGACACTGCCAGCAAGTTTTCCTGGCCAATCAGGATACACCATTTTGGTCATATGCGTCAAGGAACCAATGGAATCACGCGCAGCGCGTTATTTTAACCTCACTTTTTTTGCTTTTACGAGGGGCACATTGTTGTCTACTGAAAAAGGAAAAAAAAAAAGCTAGAAACGCGACCTTCCCAACAAGACTAAAATGGCACTGGTGGAGCGTGTAGTTCGCATGCCATCGGCAGTTGAAGTATCGCTAGTTTCAACTTGCAATTTAAAGGTCTGCTTGCGTGATGCTCATTTTATGGATTATAACTTGAGAAATAAGTAGAATTTCGAAGCCACACTTTGCTGATAGGTGCGGAAGGGCATCGGGAACCCGCAATGATAAGAGCAAAAATGCGATTTTAGGGCCCATTTTGGACTTCTAAGTGCTGTGTCCCCCCTTAAAGTTTCATAGCCGTACGAAACCTCATAACCATTCACCAACAGCTAGGCAAACCTGTTGCCATTAGCACTGAATAGCAAATCACAGAAGGGCATATACAGCGAAGGAGCCACTCACCGTAGCCCTGTCGACGCATCTCTTCCTTCGCACGCAGCCTGTCCTGACGCTTCTCATTGCGTGCCCTTCGTGACCGCTGACGACGGCGCTTCTCCACATCCGCTGTGGGCAAGAGACAGCGTAGGGGAGAAAACAAGTGGTATAAATCATCCAGAGCCTGCTAACACATATTCGTCATGAAAAAAGAAAAAGTCAGTTTCACAGCAAGGACAAAGCAATAAATGCAATAGCGAGAAATTTCAGTGTTATACAAAGTGAGGCTGGCAGCTGACTCTTCTGGACGTGATCTCACGCAACTCAACAAAACACTCATATAAGAAACTTTGACTGCTCCAAGGAGCAAAGCGGATTTCGCACAGTCTTTTTTACTTTAGAGCATAGCACATAGAAGGATGTACAAGCTGTCCACAGATGCTTGCAGAGATAGCACACATGTGACCATGCTCTTAGACCCTAAGTTCACAGGTTCTACTCAAGCAACAATGACCAGCATCCTTTAAGGGGAGACGCGGCTTTGGAATCGCTAAAAATGGCAAAAAAAATTAATTTTTGAAACTGAAGTTTTCAGTTTCTGGAACCCTTTTTTTATCTGGTTCCAAAATATCTACACTGAAAACCGCGCAGTTTCGCCCACCTAGGTAGCGAAATTTTTTCTGGAAATCGCGAGAAAACAGCGATTTTCAAAAAATTATAGCTTCGCGATGCTTGGGCCGGGAGCCGGCTTCTTGAGCTCGTTGGAAAGAGCACTTCTCCGTGTTTAACTTTCCCGCCTCAGCTGGCTCTTCCCTTTAACAACAAGCACACAAAAAGCAAATGTTTGAAGGTCGTTTTGAGGCCCTTGATTGGCCGAGGCTGCCATGTTGCCTCAGCTCGCCTCGCCTTTGGCCCGATGCTCGCTCCCGGAAATCGTCGTCTGCTACTTGTGCATCGCGAGAACATGGCTCTCGAAAATCGCTACTTCGTGACGTGTTCAAGGCTTGATGATCACTTAATATATATAATTACGCTTTAGTTACGAGCAGTAAGCGGATGCGCGATCAGGTTACTACGACAGGCGCGCGATCTACGAGCGCGGCACGTCATCGGAGTCGTCTTTAGCCCTAACTCCGCCGACAACGAGACTGCGGGCAGGAACGACGCGCTAGCGCACTCGTGGCGATATGCTTCTTCGGAAGCAACGAAGCTGTAAGCGGCAGCACGATCTCATTACTACGAGTGGCCGCACCGGATGCACGATCAGATTACTACGAGCAGGTGCGCGGTCTACGAGTGCAGCGTGCCATCGGAGTCGGCTTTAGCCCTAACTCCGCTGACAGCAAGACTGCGGGCAGGAACGACGCGCAAGCGCACTCTTGGGGGCGTGCTTCTTTGCAAGGAATGCAGCACATCACTCGCTAGCTCCTCTGAATCACGTACGGGCATTTTACGCATCGGCAGCGGACAACACAGCCAAGCTCGTCACCCCCCCCCCCCCCCCTTCACTGCCGAGGATTGCTCGGAACAGCGGCTAGCAGTTTCGCACGTCGTCATTCGAAAATGCGATGCCAAGCGCAGTGCGTGCCGATTTTTTGTGATCGTAGTTACACATTTCGCGCATCGTCACTGAACGCCGCCGTCAAGTGCATTACGCGCCGGCTGCACTGTCCACGTGGCCGCGCACCCCACGGTCATATGGAGTGCTGTCAATAAGCTTTTGTGATGCGATTCAGACGTGCTTGAAACCGTGCTTGATATCGCCACGAACGTCTATGAATGTTCTGAGGTTAATGAATTGCTGTCGATTAGAGTTTCCGCGACTGGCTGTATGATGATGCGTTACACGGCTAGAGGGGCAAAAGAGCGTGTATGAATCCGGGGCACAAGTTTTCATATGCCCGTTTAGCGTCATTAATTATACTGCTAAAAATTCCTGTGCTACCAGTCTTTTGCCCATAACTTTGTTATTTGGAAAGAAGGCATAGGCCGTCATGGTGTGATCCATTTTTCTGATGCAATAAACCTCTTCCCGAATAAAGAAAAGTTCAGTGAATATTTGTAATCAAGTACTTAATTATGCTAATTACAACATCAGCACAAAAAATGTGGAATAATTTCAGTATATGGTTTTATTCTATTACAATCTTTTCTGTCGTACCTATCACACAACTCCTACATACAAAGAACTTGGTTTGAAATCCATACTTGTTTTTTGTAAATCATGAAAAAGAGTAAATCTTGAAGTCAAATATCACAAGACAAACCTGAGATCACAATTTTTAGGTGTCTTAAAAACGTAAAGAAAAGTTCAAACTTTAAACGCAGCTTTCTCAATACTGTTTTTCTGACATTATGCTCAGCCCCTGCACATGGTTCAATTAAGAAATAATTTGTCTCTCGTAAAGTATTAGTGGTATCGCTTCAAAATTTTTATGAATGCACCGTGAGGTCATTCTTAGTGTCTGTGCCAATTTTCATCAATATTCAACGAGAAACAAGAAAGTTCATTGAAAAAAAGTTCATTGAAAGTTCATTTTTCTCACAAGTGTGTTTCGGACATTGTGCATTGCTCGTGGAAAGAGTAGCACGGGAATGACTGGACAGATTTTGATTCTGTTTTGTTTTCCTGAATTCCTGAACCCTGCTTGTGGGTACAGCAATCTTCAATTTCTGTTTTATAAACCTGTTTTTTTTTTCTAGACGATGATTTGTCCATGCCACTGTTTCTGATACTGTGTGTCGGCAGCCATGATGATCTCTAAAAAAAAGAAAAAGAGAACTTATTCAAGAATTCTCAGAGTGCCATACCCTGTAGCTTTCTTTTGAGTAAAGATCAACACCATTTGCAGCTTCCTGGCATGTTTTGTTACAGCGCTAGGCTTTCCACGAGCAGACCATGTAATTGGACCATGTATCATTATGTAACTTGATATACTACTGAAGGTATCATGATGAAACTGCATATTTCCCTATTCGAGACACTTATGAGTATGCATGCCAAATTTCATTGCTGTAGGTAAACAAATAAAAAAGCTTTTTTTTAAAGCCACCTCCCCCCTTGACTAAAGCGGACCGACGGCTCCCGTTTAGAAGGCACGTTTGTACTGACATTGAGGGAGAAAAAGGAGGCTGTTGCAAGAGTGCTTCTCACAACCAAAATCGAAACTGGAAGTGAAACCGACAGCGGAAAATAACCGACGAAGACGAAAGTGTGCACGGGGTCAGACGAACGTGAACGCGTGAGCTTCGGAACAGCGACAGGCAGAGGAAGAACGCGGCCAGCTAGCAAGAGCGCTAGGCGTTGGGCCTCAGGGGACCGAACCAACGAGCGGGTGTCACCAACCTAACCTGATGAGCGTGGCATGTTCCTGAGGCGAGTGGCGGTTCCGGGCCGGGCCTGACATGCTGTTCCTGTGGTGGACGAGCGTGCGGGCCAGGGCAAGCGGCTGATCCTGTCCAGACTCGGGTCCGGCACAACCAGTCACCGAGATCGTGGCCACGGTGCCACGTCGGAGCCGGTCCGGCACAACCGCCAATTGAAGGTGCGACCTCGGTGTTGCGTCGGCCGCAGCGTGGGGCCGCCTGGTCCAGCACGAGCAGCTGATGGTCTGCTCGTGAGCTACCGTGCACTTGGCAACCTTCCCGTGGCGAGGTTGCGTCGTCGACGCCATCGTCTTCAGCGGGAGCGTGAGCGACACCCGACGGATTTAGACTTCCGAGTAGTGAGGACGCGTGGGTTACTCGCGGGCGCGTAGACATAAGGACGCGATACCCTGACGCGGTAGCACTTTCCTCCAATGAATCGAGACAGGTTGCGGAAGGTCTCCTGGAAATGTTCTCTCGCGTTGGCATACCTAAAGAGATCATCAGTGATCGCGGCACGTCTTTCATGTCAGCAGTTATGAAGGAATTCAGCCGACTGCTTTCATTCAAAGAACTGCCTACTACGCCATACCATCCGATGGCCAATGGTTTGGTTGAACGTTTTAATGGGACATTAAAACGCATGATAGGGCGAATGTGTCAAGAACGTCCGAAAACCGGGGACCGTTACATTGGTCCGTTACTGTTCGCCTACCGAGAGCTTCCCCAATGTAGCACTGGATTCTCTCCTTTTGAATTATTATATGGAAGATACGTGCAAGGGCCAATGGCTGTTCTCAAGGAGCTCTGGACGAACCCTCGCCTCGATGACGAGACCAAGACGACATACATGCATATGATGGAGCTGCGGCAACGTTTAGAACGCACCTGTGCGCTCGCACACGAAGAATTGATGAAGGCGAAGAAGCTGCAGAAAGGGTACTACGATAAGAAAGCGAGACAGCGCGAACTTGTCCCTGGTGACCAGGTGCTGGTGTTGCTACCAGCCGATGCTAACAAGCTGGTGCTTTCCTGGAAGGGCCCCTTCCCTGTTATTGAGAACGCAGCGAACTGGATTACCTAGTAAACCTGGGCCACAAGGTTACGCTCTTTCACATCAACATGTTAAAGAAGTATGAGGAGCGCAAGCCACTAAGCCAACGAACGGTTGCAGGCGTTACCACGACGTTGCCAAGTGACACAGACAAGGTTCAGTCCGACGAAGTGCCCCATATCACACTAGAACAGACACAGGACTGGACGAATGTTACCATAGCATCGGAGCTCAACGCTGATGCACGACAGCAAGCCACAGCGGTTCTTAAAGAATTCAGAGACGTTTTCTCAGATGTACCTGGGAAGACTGACATTGTTCACTGTGAGTTGAAGCTTACATCAGAGGCTCCCATACAGGTACAACAGTACCCGCTACCTTTTACTGTCAAAGGTGCCGTCGAGGAGGAAGTGAAGGACATGCTGCAGTTAGGTGTCATTGAAAGGTCAATGTTAGCCTATCACTCGCCCATAGTGGTCAAGAAGAAAGATGGCACCACGCGTTTGTGTATTGACTTCCGACAACTGAACAAGGTCATACTTCCGGATTGTGAGCCGATCCCTCGCACAGATACGATGTTCGCTAAGCTTACGGGATGCAACTACTTCTCGCGCTTTGATTTTACTAAAGGATACTGGCAGGTGCCTATGGCCAGTCAGTCGAGAGAGCTCACGGCTTTCTCATGTGAATCTGGCTTGTACCACTTCAA